TATATACCGACAGCGACAATGATATAACGATTATAAGCCATTGGTCGAACAAATAAGTTACTTTCGCTACAGCTTTCAATATAACCTACTCTAAAAAAAACCTATAGTCATGATAAGTGTAATAGTACGTTTTATATACTTGATGCGTATTCATTATCACCATTATAATATACATGTATTATTTGAATTAGTTTTGATACATTTTTTATTTATTGAATTTGAGCTTACTCGTCTCAATTATTTAGCCTAACATTGGAATATTTGTGAATGATAGTTATACGTTTTAATGAAAAATAAAAAAAAACTAAATAATTTATGATAAATCGTCATATTCAAATAGGTTTTTAAATGAAATTCCATCAAAACTGCGTTATCTTCAAATTCTTCGTTTCTTTGAGAGTTTGAGGCACAGTAGTATTGAACATAATATTATATAATATATTAAAATATGTTCAAGCTAAAAGTTAGGCACCACTAAATATTTTCAGATAGATAGACATTTTTAGTGAATAATACAATCTAAATTAACAAAGTTTGTGTTTTTAAAACTTAAGTTATTTTGTTATCTTATCTCGCAAGTGTGAAAATTAAGTAAATTAATAAGTGAATTGTTAGCATGCTGAAATTCTTCACAATTTTAAATTCTTTTAAAACATGTATTTCGTTTTTTCCATTCACCTCCCAAAAATTATTTTTCAATGATTGATCAACTGAAATATTTCTTGGTGCTTCTTAGCGTCAACAGAAACTTATAACTTGTAAGCTTACACTAGTATGAGATTAACTCAGAAAATTGAAAAATTTTCAAAAATTAAATTAGATTTCTTAGCGCTGTTTTATTCAATGCAGTGTCAACAGTATAATATATATATAAATAACATAGTGTTGTTAAAATATAATTATATTGTTCGTTTTTCTCAAATCAAAATAAAATGTATAATATTTTCTTTTAATTCATGTTTTTCTAAATGTACGTTTTTTGGTTTATTCAATGCGTGTTTCTTTTCCAAAGTAAACCGTTGACTATTTTATTCCCACAAAACTTTATGATGTAGTTTTGCACTAACCTACAGAAGTATATCCATATAGTATTGTGGGATTTCCGAACTCCATACATTTGTAAAGTTTTTCGGACCCAAATCACATTTTATTTTCACACTTTAAAGTATGTGTGAATTCGTTAATACAGAAAATTGGTTGGACAATGTCCTCAAATGATCTACTTCAACTTATTTATGGTGAATTCATCGAAAAATGACCGAATGAAAGTGACTATACTAGCGACCAATCCATGTATACCTTATTTGATGAAGACTTGGGTAATCAAATCCACCGGAATTACATTCGAAGCTCGAGAATTTTTGTTTTTATCTTTCGGCTTGTTCCTAGTTAAGATGCTGTGAATTATCTCTCTCTCTCTCTCAAGCCGTTATGAAATGTGTTTATGGTCGATATAATTTCAAAACTAGTGATCTCCACACGTACAGACTAACATGGATTTTGGTTCTATTTTATATCCTGTTTCGTCAATATTATCTACAATATTATCATACACCATATAAGCTGGTTCGTCGACCAAAAATCGTTCCTTCAATGTTACGTATTTATTAAAAAAATATTGGACAAATGTGTGCTGAAGAAATTTTCTCCAAAAAATAAGTCTTCATTTCTTCTACAGTTAAAACGGACAAACGGTACATATTTAAATTCAAACGTATTCATATAGGCTCGATGTTAGGCTTTAACGAAATAAGTCAAGTTCGATTTAACATAACGAAATATTTAGTTCTTGTATATCAAACTCAGAGTTTGCATATTTTGTTAGTAAAAACACATTCATATTGAATAGAATGTTTTACTTTCGGTAAAGTTTAACTTCCTAATTTCACTATTTTGTGTTGATGCTTTTAACGAATATTTTCTCAAAAATTCATTCCCCAAATCATTCTAAGTATGCAAAACAAATTATCTTAACTTGATAGTAAATAAGTATTTTATATTTTATTCACTTTAAATGCATCCTGAATTATTCCGAAAATATAATGAGCCATTACATTTTTTTTATAGACACTAAACATAGTATTGTTTTTATTTATATGTTTAGTTAATTCATTCTTATTCACAACTCGTAAATTAATCTTATTTTAAGTATGTAAACAAATAGGATTTGTATTGAAATATCGTTTTAGGAAAGATATTTAAGATCTATCCTTACTATCATCGAATTTTGAAAAAAATTGTATAACAATAATAATTTTTAAATCGACTAGGTTTGTTCATTTTATTACAATATAAGTAGATGATAAAAAATTGTTTTATATATATATATAATAATAATAATAATAATAATAGTAATAATATTGTATATTAAAAACCATGATACATTGATTGTTAACACACGCATTTGTAGGTATAATTTGTATGATAATACGTGATATCAAAAATAGTTATCATAGATATTTCGTTGCCGTAAATATTGTCAAAATAATGTATATTTTCAATATAATCTATTATCAAGGTTAAAAATCCAAGTATTTTTAATGAATGATCCAAAATACAGTGACAGACAATAACATTAAAAAATTAAAAATAAAACATACATCATTTTAAAACCATTGCATTCACAGAGCTACTCAGAGTCTAAATTAAATATAGTTTTGTATTTATTTTATGTTGAACTATAATAATTAATGATTAAGATAACTAACTCATTATAAAATAATATTTATAGTCTTGTTTCAACAATTTTGAGAGAAGTAAAAGCCAATATATAATTTTTAATATTACTACACTATTTCGTTGTATTATTTATAGCTAATTCTGACAATATGCAACTCGCAGCTCAAAATTATAATTGTGCAATTAACTCTTTTAATCATGATGACGAAAAGAACATTTCCATTCCTCGAAATAAGAGGCGTACAGAAATGTTATAAATCTTATTTTTGAAAACGATAAAAATAAACAACAATTATTCAACTGAGAAAAGGTGTGTAATATTTTTGACCTTAATCACGAATTTCCGTTCAGTTTTCCGATGTTTCCGTTTGCTTGTTGAATAGCCTGCCAGATTTGACACCACTTGCTTTTTTCTTAATATGGTGGTGTGTAAATAGTTTAAATCAATACTTTACAGACGCTGAAGGAACTTGTTTCAATGGCAAGTTACAATAAAAACATACATAATATTATGAGTTATTTATGAATAATTATTCAATACATTATAAAAGACACTAATATATTAATAATAATATTGTTATGCTAATCGACTCATTTATGTACCTCTATTGCCTATAATATGCGCCGTGTTAAAAATAGTTAAGCACAAAATGATAACCAGTTTTTTAAGAAATTGTATAATGGCTCCGTATAAAAGAAATAACCGTTTTTAATAATTTTGACAATCACATTTACATCAAACATTTTGTTGATATTTGATACATTGTATTTTAAATACCCGTATAATGACAAACTACACGATAATATGCATAACCATATATTATTATCATTGAATGTTTTTTTAAGTTTGGCTGTTTAGAATGTCTTATAGATAATAATATTTTCGTAGAATATTCGTGACACATCAATTTTTTTAAAGACTTTTATGGACACCAATGGCCTGTTGTGTAAAATGAAGATGGTAAAATACCTCTTTTTTAACCTCCATATAATTCCACTGAAGGGGGAACCGAGCGTAGGAATAATATGTTGAAGGATATCTGTTCGGTGTTCAATATCTTATGGTCGCAATTTATTGCGTCTTTTTCATTGTTTGATCCATTTTATTTCCTTGTCATTAGTAGGTGGGAGGGATTAGAACCTTAAGTGGCGAGCACATGATGCAACGGATCAAGACTTCCAATATCTTAACATGCTTTAATCGCGATGTCGTTATCAACCGAAATTTGTACAAGTCGGTTGACCATCAGATATGAGAGTCCGATGCACAATTTATTTTATGTAGGAGAGAGTAACGATTTGACAGCATTGATACAGAGTATTGGTACAAGAGGTATATAATTACACCAAATAAAAGTCTACTATTATATATTTGTTTATGTGAGAATCGTCATCGATTAAACATGAAAAAAAACAACAGCATAACTTCCGAACAATCGTTATGTAACAAACAATGAACCAATATATTTTGATATGTGGTAGAACTGTAGGAGATTAAAAAATTAAAAACTACCAGGTAGTTTCAGGAGGAAATATTGCTTGTACCGTAAAAACAAAAGGTTAAAACGAGAGGCTCCCTCAAATAACAAGGGAATTTCGCCCCTCTCCCACCCTTTTGACAAATCCTGGATGTGCGCCTGATTCAACTAGTACATAAATATATTATTATACAACACAGTAATAATAAGATATGTAATTCAATATTGATTTAACGATGAGTAGTTAAAATATAATATATTTTTTTTTTTGCATTTCGTTATTGTCGACGTAGTTGAAAACAAATTAAAATACGAAACGTATACAAGCGCGTAACGAAAAGAGAGGCAGAATAATTCATCAAAGCGAGTGAAAACTACCGACAAACGTGTACGAACAACAAATAAAATATTTATTAATATTTCATTATTAAACTGAAATAATGCGCAAAGTTGAAATAAAAAATGTAAAATGTAAGATTATACACCCAACTGCACCTCAATGCTTCAATGTTTACCTACAATTATTATGTGGCAGTATTTTTTTTTTTTCATTACCTTAATAAACATTGCTGCTGTATTATTAGCCAACTTACCAATATTATTTATTTTATTAAAATAATTACCCCTCTATATTATAATACGTATAAGCAAATCTGAGGAATTTCGAGGGATTTAATTGTATTAATTGTTTTTGACATGAATAAATATATAAAATTAAGTAATATACACATAATTATTAATACTATAAGAAGTTTTAATTGTTGGTTTAATTCTCAAGATAGTTGATTGAATAATCAGCCAAATATATAGAGAATATTAGATTTTTGACGCTGAGAATTTTTTTCTCTAAGTTCAAATTAAAAAAATACGTTTTGTCAACACCATTAACTGAATATAATAATAGAAATAACGGAATACGAAGAATCATAACGAATATTCCACTTAACGTTGACTCGTTTTAAATCGTAATAAATACAATTAAGATTAACTATATGCACGAAAATACTTATCGCATATTCTACACACAGGTATAAGGCATATTTTCGTATGATGAGCCTAAATTGGGCCGCCTATTGATCAGAAGTCTTCAATAAATGAGTCAATATGTATCAAAATATACAAATAGGTATTAGGTGTTATGTTACGAGTTCTGTATGCATATGAAGGAAGTCTGCCTAATTGTTTTCGTTGGACATCATGACAATAATAAATTATGACAAATCACTAAATTTCAAACACCAGGATCAAACACGACCAATTTCAATAACAACAGTATTCGATATTGTCTCGAATGATTCCAGAATAATATTGATGGGGATATCGACGATATCGTTGGTCATCACTAATTACAAAAAAATAATTATATTACATTATATTAAAAAAAAAATATTAGGTTACAATAATTATTATAGACGATACATTAACACTTAGGGCTTGGTATTTGTGTCACAGGTACCATTGCAGATTGCGGACTGCATTATGACCGGCGCGACGACTCCGGTCGTAAGCGACGACGAGAGGAGGAGGAGGTGCAGCGCGTCGCGGCGGCGCCCGTCGACCGCGTGCCGTCGTCACCGGCGCCGACGTCGGCGGCGGCGATGGCCGGCGGCGGACTGATCGTGGTGTTGCTGATGCTGTCGGCGTGCGTGGTCTGCGGTGCGCGGGCAGACTGTCCGGCGGCGTGCGAGTGCAAGTGGCGCAGCGGCAAAGAGTCGGCCATTTGCGCGTCGGCAAACATGACGGCCGTGCCCCGGCACCTGGACTACGGTACACAGCTGCTCGACCTTACCAACAACCCGCTGTACAGGCTGGGTAAGGACGCGTTTGCAGATGCTGACCTGCTCAACCTGCAGAAATTGTACCTGTCCCGGTGCCGGATCAAGGCGCTAGACCGGTACGCGTTCCGCAAGCTCAACAACCTCGTCGAGCTAGACCTGAGCTACAACAGCATTCCGGTGGTTCCGTCAGCCGTACTCGAGTCGGTGCCCGAGCTCCGGGAGCTCCGGCTCAACGGCAACCCGATCATGAAGGTGCCAAACGGAGCGTTCGCTCACGTCCCGCGGCTGGTCCGGCTGGACGTGTCGGAGTGCCGAGTGGCACTGCTCGAGTCCACCGCGTTCGCCGGCCTCGAGAACTCGCTCGAGTGGCTCCGGCTTGACAATAATCAGCTGCGTGACGTCAAGCCATCCACGGTTGTGTCACTTGCCCGTCTGCATGGTGTGCAGCTCAACGACAACCCGTGGAACTGTTCGTGCAAGCTGCGACCGCTCAGAGAGTGGATGGCCAGACGGAATGTACCGTACGGCGCGCCACCTGTCTGCAAGACACCCGTCCGTCTGGCCCGGACGCCGTGGGACAAACTCGAGCTGGATGACTTCGCGTGTGAACCACACTCGGTGCCCGTGTCCGCCATGGTGGTCGTCACCGAGGGTGACAACGCCACCGTGTCGTGCCGCATGTACGGTGTGCCCATACCGTCGTCCAGGTGGACGCGCAACGACCGGCCGCTGAGCCAGACCGGCCGCAGCGTGCCAGTCACGGAGGGCCGGTACACGAACCTCACCATCGTGTCGGCGGTCGCCCAGGACGGTGGAAGTTATGCTTGCGAGCTGGAGAACCGGTCTGGTAGCTCCCGGTCCAACGTCACTGTGGTTGTGGTCAAACGGTCTCCGCAGCTAGTACTGGGCGCCGACCGGTATGCACTGCCGGGGCTCATTGTCGGTGTTATACTGGTCCTGTCTTTTTGCCTTATATTCCTGTGCGGGCTGGCCATCCGGTCCAAAGGCAGCCCGACCGGTTCCCACGGCGTCCCAGTTTCCGGCCCTCTCGACTCCGCCGCGGCCAATATTGAGGCAGATCCGTTCGACCGGTACGAGAAGATCGAAATGGATCGGGACGACAACAAGGTGCAGCATCGCCTTCACCAACTTCCGGCTTCGTCGTCCGATGTGAACAACCGACCGGATCCGCCTGGTTACGCAGAGTCAGCGGCCACTTCTGGTGGGCTTTTGCACCATCGTCACGACGAGCACGAAGACTACGACGGGCTGCCGCCAATCGACGAGCCACCCTCTTCGACAGCACCGTCCATCACGGATCGGCCGACCGCTCGTCCGAGCCATCCGACCACCAACACAATCCCGCACAGGTATGTCATAAAAATTATCGAACACATTTTCATACATATATATAATATATTGTCGAGTTGTGTGTGAACTTTTGTAAAGAATCTGTAATGGACATTCCGGATTTAGATTTGACAGATGTGAAATTTTCATCAATCTCATTTAATTATAGTATTATACTATCTAATTAATATTGTATTTTATCCTAACGTACCTTAATTACAATCGAACACGAAGAAGTATCACGATTATGAATAAAATGGAATTACTCCGCAAGCCAAAAAATAATGAAAATCCAAATCACACGAACATCCGAAATATATATTATACCCTAAATTGTTTTTAACTCGTCATTGATTCATAGCTACGATGCAGTACCTACTAAGACTCAAAAATTCTGCAGCTTATTAGCAATACTAATGTTTTGGTTATGTTTATTCAACATTCATACAGTCTTAAAATTCCTTTGCGTTTATCTATAAAAATATACTATGTACGTTAATTTAACGGGGAATTTCCAAAACTGCTTTTTTATGTAAATGCGACTGTTGTAATACAATTTGAGTTTAATGTGTATAGTGGCATTCTCTTAAAAATTGTATTTGTTTATAAAATATGCGTGTACCTATAGTAATAATTAAAATTTATTACACAAAAAGGTGTATTATAATACAGTGCCACTGCGCAGTACCTTTGCCCAACATTTTGTAAGCGAGTTGTCTTTTTTTAAGTACGATAATATCAGATAGTCTTTATTCATCTGCCAAACTCATCGGTGATTCATTAATTACATGTTCACCATATTTATTGTGGTTAAATTACTGAAAATATTCAATTTTCTCATTACACTCCTAATTAGTAATTATACATTTAAATAAACACAGGTGAATAAATCAACGATATAGGAATAGAATTCAGAACATAATTATTCCAAACACTTAAATACGTCATAGCCACATCATCACAAGGTTATTCGTCCATAAACAAAACTGTTGAACTAAAATTTAAAATAATAATAATAATAAAATATTATTAAAATTAAAAATGTACTTTGTTTAATATAAATTGGTCACCTAACTGTTCAGATACTAAGTCAAAACATAAATATTAATAATAATTTTCTATAACTTTATAGTTAAATAGTTTAGACTAGGTATAATAATTAAAATTCAAGTACAAACTATATAAAAAATAAAAATAAAGTGTACGAGTACCAATTGCCCTAAGTAGAATATGGTGTACACAAATTGCATTCATGAAACATATAAACGTAGTTACTTGCAATAATAATAATAATAAATGGACAAGCTTATATCCATAAAATCGATTAACAAATTTGTTTCACTATACACATGGTAGACACTTGATGACAATTAAAATAATGAGACAACATTTGGTTAATGGAGGTGGGCTTGGAAAATCCCCCTTTATAGTTGCCGAAAATTATTATTATCTAAATCTCCCAGTTTAACATAAAAATTTTCTTGTTTTTTTTTTAAATGCAACAGTACGAAATTGTCAAGCAATTCGTTATCAAAAAAAAACGTAACCGTCTTTCATTTTTTTTTTTTAAACACTCAAAGTTTCCATTACAGAGTTATTTATGATAGCATTGGAGAACATATAAATCACGAATTAAAAAAATAATAATAATCTCACCGTGTGAACCGTCACGTTATTTTTCTTCTAAAAATGTCCAAGTATACAAAAGTTTCGGTTTGAGATCAATTCTAACGAAATAAATTCGTTTCGCACTTACGATAGTATAGACTGTGACTTTAGGTACCTTATTTTTAATCTTATTCAGCAAAGTTTTCCTTTCACCGTATAAAATAATAAGAACAAGCTTTTCGAGTTCTTTTATTCCTAAAAAAGTTTTACGTTTTTTCGTGTACACAAATATACATTAACCTGTCAATTATTTTTCAATGCTAACTCTATGTGAGTTAACGATTTAATCTTGACATTATTTTTAAAGTAGGCACGTTCTGTATTGATATTTTATTTAAAAATTCATACATTAAATTCCAAATTGGCATTTCGTTTATACGTTTTTTAAACATATAATGCCAATCTAGAATACATCAACCTACTTTAAAAATAATGTCAAGATTAAATCGTTAATGCTCATAGGGTTAGCATGGAAAAATAATTGACAGGTTAATGTAGTTTCATACACGAGAAAACATTATTCATAATAAAGTTACTTCAAAAGCTTTTTATAATATAAATATGTCGAAAGAATACTTGAGCGTCTGTGCGCTATGTTGCGATACATTGAACATATAAGTTCACACATACTTACATATTTTGACCGAAAGCAAAAACAGTGTTGCTTACAGACAAATAATGTATAACTTAAAAAAAAGTTCGACATAATTATTATCAGTTCTGTAGTAGAAGACACAATAGCATCATAATCGTTCTGCAGTTTGATACAAATTACGGCAATCGTAGTACTTGACAAATAACAGATAACCATGCTTATTTTGTGAGTTTATCTGAACAAAAATCAAAATGTTGGATATTGATTTTTTCTTCCAGATTTCACCCTGTTTTAAATATATATATTTTATTTATTGTTTGAAATAATTTACAAAAAGTTTTAAAAAAATGTTTTAAACATCTTTAAAATATTGCAACTCTGGTTTAAAAATATTTTTCAAATGTTATTGTAATGTAAAAATAAAACTTAAAATTATACTTTAGTTAGGTAAAACAGTTATGAGCAGTTAATTTACCTTGATGATACTAGTATACTACCATAGTTTTAACCTGTTTTAGTACCTATTTTTATTGTTGATTCTCTGTTATGTTTTAAATAGTTAGGGTTCACTCTAATCGTAGCATGCTAATTTATTTGGGGTGATTCACAAACCGAGCGTCACTAACACACGCAGTGTATTGATATACCCGCTATAGCACGCTAAAAATTTTCTGTTAGTCTAGGGAAAATTACACGATTATTTATTCATTACATACAACCTCTTCAGTTATAGTTAAAATATTATGACAACTATTATGTTTATTTGTTTATATTATGATAACGATGAGTGTATTAGTGAGTTTTTCTTGTTGAACCCACGATTAACCCACGTATCTGATAATCAAATTCCGTGCAGTGACCAAATGTCAAATTAGTACAAACTACTAACTATCAATGTTCAATAAGGAAAGGTTTTTTAAACATGTGACAAAAAAGCAGTGGGCTACTTTTAGACAAAATCATAAAAAGTAGTTTTTAAAAATAAGTATTGGTACCAATAGAGAGCTAGTTTTTGGAGAATAGGCAATCATTACCTAAAGTTGTCTACATAAACTTTGAATGAAGAATTAGGTTCAAATGTAGTAATAATAATGTGCACAATAGTTATTTAGATAAGATAATATACTATCTAGATAAATCACAACCATTTGTTATAGGTATCCTGTATTTTCACATAAAATCAATGCCAATATGATTTATTTTAAATAATATTACTTTGTCGACAGCATTCAGAAACAATAAGTACTAATAGTAATAAATATTTACAAATCGAAATCATCTATTCGATTAGAAGTTATAAATGTATAGTAATAGATTAATTTCTTATCTGATGAATAATAAATTTTATAGTTGAACACAGAATGTGTCTAAGTATATGTGTGATTATAATATCACAACGAATGGCAATTAACATGCATTTAAATAACACTATTTTAAACTAACATTTTATTAACTTCAACAATATATGCAGTGAATATTTATTAATTAATATTATATACAAATAAGGTTTATTACAATTTTTAAATCCACTAAGACAATACAATGTACATACTACATAGTACTAGTGAACAATATTGATCAGACATGCTACAGCTTCGAGTAGGTAGGTTGTACGACGACGTGAATGTGAGTGTAGATATGTATAAATATGTCAGTTGAGTGTATTTAAATATGCATCGTCTGCACTCGTTTACAAAAATCAATTCTGACTGAAGGTTTTTTTTATCATTATATTTATATTAGGTGCGTTTTTACAATGTAAATACAATCATCAAATCAAATTGTACAGTTATTCCATTTTTTTTTCTCGTGTTTGTCATCTACAACAGGGTTATTAGCTGATTCAATTATATATTATTAGATATTTTGTTATTTACATTTATACTTACATATGAGTTGCATTCATATTTAGCTTGCCGAGTTCTGTTTGGTTGATAAAAATGTATCAGTATATTGAATGTATTCGATTATAATTCTTAATAAAGAATAAATAAATTCTATGTGTATTGAACAATTATAATAATATTATTATATTGTATTGCACTGTATTATGAATGCCATGCACATTGATAATGCAGCCTCACAGAATACTATAACAAATATTTGTCTAACTTTTCTCAGTCAATGTGTAGTTTCTGAATTTCTAAACTGAATTATTGACTGTAAATTTAAAAAAAAAAAACAAATATAAAACCAATAGAGTTCCTTTACTCCTTAAAATATTCGTGTTACAAATATCTTAGTAAAATGTGTTTTAAATCAAAATAATGTCTTATATTGACTTTGTATAATCATATAGATGATTTGAAATTAAAAATTAAATACATATAAAAAATGTATGTCTTACTGCATGACATATTAATGTAACATATAGAACAATATTTCATTCATTACCAAATCATCAAATAATTATTTTTGAAAAAAATACTAAGAGACGTAAAAAATCTACTTTAACCGTCAAACATTAAACAAATAGATAATAGTATCTATACAATTATTTTCATAATAATAATAATAAGCTGTATAAATTAATGAGTAATTTCTAATTTAACAAATAATATCTCATCATCATAAAATGTATTTTCCACTTAGTTATATGAAGGAAGTTTTTCTGTATAACTAAATATATTATACCTATACGTTATTAAACTAATAGCCGTCTAGGCAAAAGTTTAATATGGTGAAGTCCACCGTAATATTTTAGAAGTAATACGTATATGAGACCCTCAATTCTATAAAATGTTAATCATGTTATATGTGACACATACCTGCTCAGCCTTTTATTAAACCCGAGATTTACAGATAAAAGTGTTTGTGATCTTATAGCATGGATTTACGTTAACAGTCAGGTATGACCTTAACCATGACGTATATTATTTTATGTAAAAAATACGGATGTAACTTATTTTAGATACCTATAAATAACATTAGAAGAATAATAATTTTTACCATCGAAAGTTGTTGACATTCGTGTGTATTAAATTTGTCTAAATATATATATATATATATATTATTTTGTAATATATGAGCTTATTGTTGTTTACTTGTTATCATAAATGTATACACGCAGAACATGAAACAAATCGAAAATAATATAATAATAAAAATACATTTACTATTGGTCCAAATTGTTATAGGTATAGTAAAATAAATCTATAAAAAAACATGGAAATTGGCCTGCTGGTTTGTTCGGCTATATATAATATATTATACCAAGAAACAACAATACAATTTGATGTCAAAAATAAAATTGTTACAGGTCAACCATCGAAAAACATTCTCATTATTTAATTGTATATTCTATACATTATAAGTATAATATTTATAATAACTAAAAAATATTCAAAATATGTATACAATTAAATTTTCCTCGATGCTCCTTCAGTGTTAAAATATTTTTTGTGTCAATATTTATAAAAAAAAGTATCTTTGTGATATCTTCGGGAACATAGTTTAAAAAAATATCAATGATTCTTTTTTATAAAACATTAATTTAATAACAGATTTGTTAACTATCACAAGTCTCAAATATTTTGTTTTATGACTCATATACAAAGACAAATTTTAGCCTAACAAATACGGTAAAAATATCATTATTATTGAGTAAGTATCCATCAAGATTATATTCACTTTATTACACACGAATTGTTTTTAATCTTAAACTTATAACTCGTAAAAAGTTTTGTTAGCTTATTATTAAATTATATGCAATGCATATACTTATCATTCTATAACTAAAATATTCATACTGAATCATCTGTAAAATATTATATTTTTAAGTAAGTTTTTATAGTTTAATCGATTGTTTATTCTCGTTTCAACTTAAACATAATGTTCCATACTTTAATAAGGTCAACAACTTTTATAATGCAAAAATCACAATTTCAGTTCATAATGTCACGCAAATCTAAGATTCGACAAAAACAGATAGCGTGTTTTAATATTTGTTCAACATTACTTCAGTTTAGAATAGTCTCTTAGAAAAGTTATAAAAACCAACCGACTACTTACATTCTAACCTTTGTATTTAACATACTTACCAAAAAAAAATTATAGTTTGTTTATTAATTTATGTTCACATAGTTAAATTAAAGTAATTAAACATTAAAAAATTGAAAATAAAACAACTATTTTTGTCTTTTAACGAATACTTATGTAATTTAAAAAAAAATATATATTAAATTTGGAAGGAATCTATGACTATGTTCACCAATATTTATACAAAAATGCAGGTAGGTAGTTTAAAAACATTGTAAATATAGCCATAGTATGAAACTATGTAGTGTGTACTGCTCAAACTTTAGCTACCTACATATTGTTAAAACAAAATGTACAAAATAAATATTATGCCCAATAGATTTATACAGATTTATTAATTCACTGAGAGTAATATTTCTTATTTAAAATGAAAAGGTTTGATTCAGTTATATTTGATTGAGCAAAGGCTAATTAAGATAAAACACGGCATTAAGTGGATTTATATAAGAAAACGACAATTTATAACTATTGTCTGTGGCCCATATGGTACGGATTTTATCAAAACCCCCACGCGATAATGTACCATTGGCTTAAGGATTTTCTCACACAATTTACCATTAAGTCTTGCTTAAGACACCAAGGATAAGACAGTGAAGAGCCGTAGGTACATAATAAACGTTTGAATAATATTATTAAGCTTTATTGAACTGGTGATAACCCGGCGCTCTGTATATGCAATACTGATACATGCTTAGCACGATAAATAAAATTTATGTTGATATAATCAGATTTAGTGTTAGAATATAGTTATAATAGTACTATTTACTTTGTCTACTCCATTATGTTAATTCCAATTCAAACGAACCAATAATAGTTAGATATAAGTATATTACTAATTAAAACTTAAAAGATGAATTACTTATTGAAAGCACCATTTAAATAAATATGTATTTAAAAGTACAATGCCGATTTTTAAGGATGAAAATAATAATTATTATTTATTAGCAATATTTCTTCTTTTGTGTAAAATGATTTAGTATAATTGAATATGAATAGTTAACGAATTTAAATATTTATTTATATGTATATTCCATCAATAAAACATTTAATAACAATAATACATAGGAAAAATTCTTCCTAACACACCATATTCACAAAGTGTAAAATATATTACTACCTACTTTGAGTTCTCTAGGCTGATCTCGTAATGAATAATCTACATTTGCATACCTCCATGAATCGAGATTAAAGAAATTAAAATATGGATAATTAGTATAATATTATTAATTAGGAAAATATCCTAATGGTTTTGTTCCAAGAAATTTCTAGTACTAATGAAAATAAAAAAGTTCACTTTTAACCACTTTGAGTACCAACTAGTGTAGTACTGCTCCTAAACTTACGGTCAGACACACAAACAAACAAAAAACATATCATTGTAAAACCAATACATTTATCACTCCACTCAGAATTTAAAATTTAAAATTTTAATTTTTTATTAAGCAATCCACTTTATAGTATACAGAAAATCACAATATACACTTCAAGTCTACATCATATTATAATACATATAGAAATTGTTTTTTTGGATGACATCGTTATTCAAAAAGTTGTTATCTGTAAAGCTATTTCAAAAACAAATTCTTATAACCTCATTAAATATAATTATGATTATTTAATATTTTATCTGATAAAAATAATATACTTAATGAATAAATAAGTAAAACAAAACAAAAATGTCTTTTTTTGTTTTACTAAACACTTAAGCAATAAGTAATTATTTCATTTTTTGTAAAAGGTATTAGTATAAGTATAGGTATAAGTATTATAATTCAGTATAATAATTCAAAATTTAGTATTGTACTGTTAATTGGCATTTTAAACTATGGTAGTAATTTTCAGTGAATTGTTAATACATACATTATACAACATATAGTTCAATATTTTGTAGATATTTCAGTTTATTTAATATGCAATTTTTTTTTTAGTTAGATATAAACTAACCATGTTAATTTTTTTTTAATACTTATAAATGATCACACATACACTACAATTTAAAGTTACTTATTGGTTTTATATTAACCAATTATAATAATCTGGATTATAACGTTATAGGGTTTTAAACTGTAACTTATGTTTTTAATGTTATAGATCTTCATATAATAGTATATATAAATACTATATACCTAATACTATTGCATCCAGTAAATTGAAAACTGGACATATATTTTATTTTGTGTTTGTCAAAACTGTAAGGTTTCTATTATATTTTGAGAAAATCATGAGGAAACTTTACAAAAGACGTCGTTTAAAACGGGTTTTAAAATGAGATTATTTTCGCTTTGCAATTTAAACCAACAATTCACCACCCGAGTGGTTTACCTTAAAGGTTACTCTCCGTGTATAGTGAGCATACAAATTAACATTGAATATATTTTTGTAAACTAAATACTAAAATGTAAAAACTACCATTCAAAAAAATTACCATTCAATTCAAATCAATAGCATTCATTATTATAAAAATAACTGTTAAGTTGAATCAAATTAAAAACAGATTATCTTTATTTATGATTAGAATGATAAATTGTATTCGTTATTACCATAGAGAAATAAACTACATAAGAAAAACCATCAGAAATATTGATATTTATTAAATACTTAATTAATTTTATCCATAATAATGTTAAATAATATAAATATATAAGTTTGCCAATTTTTACATAATTGTAAATAATTTAATCACCAGTTGTATAGTTAAATTACAATATTTATGGTGTACCTAATTAAACAAATTAATGATTATATTTTTATACTTTTATATTTTTTTTTTTTTGGTTTCAATAATTACTATCTTTTTTTTTATTAAAATATAATTACAATGTATACACATTTAGTACAATAAGACATTTTTATTATATTTGATATAGACATAACGAGGCTTACAGATTTAGGAGGGGACTCAGTAGTGACACACACTACCATCTAAAAGAAAAAAATTCTGAGAATTCCTTTCTAACCAATTTTGACAGTGTTACTCTATTATTATAAATATGATTCCACCATATTGTAATGACAACAACCATCCATTATTATTTAAATAACAAGGTCAAAGGCCCATAAAAAATAACAATGGTTTCAGAAATAAATAAATAATATCCATACAAAAATTATGTTGTGCATTTTGTTGGCATCAACAATGGTTATTAATTTTTTACTTTCTGTAATGATAAGAAAAAAAGGTTTCTGATGAGTGAATAACAAAGGTTACATCTAAAACTCATAGTTTTCATATTTTAAGTACATAATAAGAAGATATGGATACGAATTAATGAATTTTTTATTTAAAATTGGTTCGTTAATAATGTGTGGATGATGTATTATGTATTAAAATAATAATTATACATTACATGTTACTGTTATTATGATATTAAAATACAATTTTGATAATATGGAAATGGATGAGTATTTACTTATGCATCCAATAATATTATTATTTAAAAACATTCATTATTGTACAGTATTTTTTCTTTTGTTATTTTTCCAATAGACCTCGGATTTTGCCGGATGATCCATCGGATGGAAAAAAGAAAACTTATTTAGAGTGTAACTTGGGTGAAGTAACCTTACATCATCATGTGTTACATAAAGAATCTCTTCCGGCCGGTCACCTTTACACTACTGCAGCAGGTCGTCAGGAATTGTTTAATACAAAAAATGTGCCTGACCTATTGGACACATTACTTCCAACCAAAGGTCGTCGAATCTCGCAAACACTTCCTAGGTGAGTTGAAATGTACTAAAACCTATTAGTATATAGTGTTGTAAAATATAAAATCTAAGGTACGATTTGTACCAAGAGTTAATCTTCAAATTGCTTACCATGTTTAATGTTTTATAGACAGTCTATACATTTAATATTCGTGTTCACCTGACGTCTAACATGACTTATGAACATTGAACACTCCATACTCATTTAGATTTAATCTAAAAATTATTATTTAGTTATTTATTTTACTTTAACACTTTGTTCGAAATCATAACAATAGGTCGGGAATTAATTCAAATGGCAGAAGGAGTACTGTTTACACGCCAAGACAATCGGAGAGTCAATCTCCTTTGCTACTAGGAAGTCGTAGCAGTGGTGGTAGCAATACCAGTCGAAGCCAACTGTCCTTTGATTCGTCCATATCGTCCGATCATCCAAGGTACATATTATAATATTCTATTCTGACAATTTCTATTAGATAACTGGCGATTATCCAGATGTGTTCTTAATATTGCATGCATAAGGCACTATAAAATAAATTATTAAGTGTAAGTAAGTGGTAACCCATCTAGACACCCGTGTTAGACAAATGTATGGTTGCCAATGATTTTAAATAAGTCATACATTTCATAGATGGTTTTTTACATCATATATCATTTTAATTATACTCTTCATAATAAATTCTAGTTTTTATTATATATGTTAGATTGTTTTTTCGTATCAGTTTTGATTTTTAATTCAAACTAATTTATGTTTTAGTAAAATTGTCCTAAGTAGGCACATGATTTAGTATTTAATATTTTTATAAAGTTTTGAGTTGTGCACTGACATATTGTATTATTATATTATATCACACAAAATAAGTATATGATATATATTTATTCTAAAAATAAGATTAGTTTAAATTAAATTAATGACAAGTTTTTATTCCAATAACTATATTTATCTTATTATGACCATACAATTTTCACTAAGTAGGTAACAACATTATGCGCGTGTAAAATAATCTACCAATAATCTACTATCATATTAGTATTTATACTGAACACTAGTGTTAGGGAATCTTACTAAGGATTTGGGGTTACTTAGGGAGTATATAAAAATTATTTTTATTAATTCCACAAATCACTAATTTAAACTATGATATTTTAAATTACTATAATAAATCTATTAAAATCAAAACATGACTAATAATATAAATCCTCCTACAACTATTTTGTGAGTAATTAGGTCATTATATTTTTCTTTTGAGACAGTGATTAAAAATTAAATGAAAAATTTTCATCACATTTAAAAAATATTTGTATTTTCTTTTGTCTAACAATTTTAATTTTTTTGCACTCATAAGCTGTTGTTTTATATATAATTAGTTTTTATAAATTACTGTATTCAATTTGTACTAATTATTAAATCAATTAATATCACTGTGAAATTTAATCTTGCTCTTAAGGTAATCGAGTTAATTTTTTATTAAGATAAGAGAACATGGAAATATTGAACAAGGTTTTTCTAATCAAATATTATAAAAATTAATTTTTGTAAAAATTTTAACTTTCTTGTCACTCAATAATGTTAAATATTTAAACTTCGTCGATCGACATTTTATAAAATAATATGAAACTCCTATAGAATCGTTTATAATTATTATAAGAGCCAATAATAAATACAAATTTAAGATTTTTTTCAAACCCTAAAATTAAATTGTATATGTAACTTAAGTCTCAAATTTCAATTCGTTAAGAATATTACCCATCATAATTTTAAATTCGATTAGATAGAATATAAACATTAAGTGTATATTATATAATAGTATATAGGAACTAGATTAGCTTAAATAGCATATTATTGGCACAGTAGGATCGAAATTGGATTAATACATGCGAATGCGTTTTCTAATAACTGTACATTTAACTCCAAAGAATATATAAGTCTTGAATTAAGGCTTTTTAAATATTTTTGAAAATCCTTATACTTGCTTAAACAAAATGTCCACTCATTATTCGATTGTGAATTTCATTACGTAAACCTTTAAAATTAATAATTATTACTCTTAGTGCTTTTTTATTAGGTTTACTCTCATAACATGAAATAATAAACATAATAATCTAATATGCTACGATAATTAAATAGGTATGGTATGCAAAATAATTTATATAATGCTATGAATTTCATATAAAATTGTTTTCGTAACTCAAACATCAATTTTAAAAATCACTCTGCATATGGGATACGTTTAATACAATTATTCTATACCAAATTGACCTAAGTATTATTACACAAAGAAAATTCATAAGCCACAAGTAAAATTATGGTCCGCGGCTTATGCACCAACATTTACATTACACCACTCCTAAATACCATGTTTACGTCGGTAAAGTTTAATAGTGGTTTCGCCAAACTATAAACCAAACATCAATATTCGTTGGATTGTTTGATTTTGGATATTCAACAAAGCGAACTTTATCATAATCTCAAGATCGAAGTGAGCTGTATAAGCAGATCGAAACTTTTTGTTGTAGTTTCTACCGCGTTGTAAACCCGTTACATGTATGCTCAACGGAAAATTTAGAACACGACATCGTGTAAACTTTTGTTGTGTTGTTACTCTTGTCGTTTTCATTTAAACAGGACAGTTATTTTTCTTAGTCAATTATAAATCTACCGCACAATGTATCATTTAGATAGGTCGGCAGCTGTGTACGGCCGTATTGCGATTAGTAAAATATTATGGCAGTATCTGTATTATGATGTAATAGTATATTTTTATATATAATATGTCATCATGTGGCGCACTCGCGATGGCGGCACCAAAGTCGTTTTAGCTAGGTGGCTTTTATGGTCTTTACTTCATAATTGGTACTAATAATATTTTAAGACTGTGTAGGCTTATACTTTTATAGGTACTTCAAAATGTGTGACCCTTGTAGTTAGATGTAAAATTGGGCATCATACTTATAAGTCATAATAATTTAAAAACACGATTTATTATATCAAGTTATGTTATAAACCGGTATTTGAAAACTTCGTGCGAGTAATTTACATACATGGTAATAAACAATTGAAAGCTTCACTTAAAAATTATTCGAGTATCAGTCACAAACACTACATACCTACACTAGCAGGTAAAGTTAAGTCGGAAACCCTTACAAATTTGTCAACACTCCTGAATTTTGTAGGCTTGTCCTTAAAGGTGGGTTCAAACTGCGCCGTGTCGTGTCGTATCGTGAAATGTTGCCATGCTCAGATTGGTCCAACCACGTGGTTAAATCTGGTTTCTACCACACATTTTACGGATTCTACTACAAATACCATGATGTTTCCGCATATACCACGAAGTTGATTTCATCCAACTTTTGAAAGTGTTGTTACTGATTTAATAGTGATAATACATGAATTAAAATATTATTTTGATATCAATTAAATGAAGAACTCATTTATGGTATAGAGTGGTATCATGTTGTGAAAATTAGAAAAAGTTCACGACACGACACGATACAGTGCAGTGTGAACCCACCTTTAGAACCTATTAGTCAGAAAACATAAATTTACAATAGTTAACAAAAACAAAAGAAAACAGTAGACGAACCAATGATTTTAACTACAATATAATTTCACACTGATTACTGAATGTATAGGATATACTTACAGCTTACTGTTTTTCAGGCAACTGACGACCGGTCAGAAGTCGAGCAGTTACCTGAACCTGTCCACAGCCAGCTGTGGTGGCGGCGGCGATTACGGCGGTGAGTCTTCAGGCGGATACCATCACCAACACCACCCGTCGTACTATTGGACGCCGCCCAGCTTGCCGTCATCGCCTGCCCGGGAGCGACGGCTGCCCGCCATACCGGTGGGTCGTGGTGCCGGACTACCCACCGTGGCCGCCGAGACCCCCATACTTGATCCGCTGTCGTCCAGGCGGCGGACTTACGGCGGGCCGGGTGGGGGAAGTCACCATCAACACAACCACAACAGTGGAGTCAGTGGTAACCAGATGCACAACCAGTTGACCGGTAGCAACCATTCGCTGCTGTCCGACGGCGCGTCCGTCACGTACGACTACCACACTGCGCAACTGGACATGTTCCTGGATGAGTACAAGACACTCAGAAAGGAGCTGACCAAGATGCAGCGGACGTGTGACACGCTTCGGCTGTCCAACGCCTCCCTGGCCTCTTCGGTGGCTGCCCCAGACGCGATCGACCACAGGGCCAAACCGGAACCATTGGCCGCTCCTGCCACGTCGTCATCGTCGTCGTCGAGGACCACGCCCAAGTCGATACTTAAGAACAAGAACCAGGCCACTTACGTCTACCGCCCGGGTGGCGAGAGGCGCAACAGTTACCACCAACTAGAACCGGCACCCGATGACATTTACTTGAGTTAACCTCGTCGTCCTGCTCACCGAGGAAACCCGAAGCCCGGCGTCCCGTTATAGAATTATTATTATTATTATTGTTATTTTCTTATTGTATTAATTTATCGTACATAATACATCACATTATGCTCGCATTGAACCCATAGAATTATATATTTGTGTGTGTGTGTGCGTGTGTGAGAATCTCTATCTCTCTACTCAAATGGAGCAACTAGTTATAACCAGACATTATACATTGTGAAATATTTCATATACACTTCATCTAGATTTACCCCCCCCCCCCAACCTGTGAAGAAAATATGTTAATATTCGTAACCCCCTCCTCTATTTCAAAAAAAAATTTAATTAAATAAATAAATAAAAAAATAAAGAGTTCCTGGTTGAACTTCTCTGTAACACTCTCTGGTAATTGTATTTACAATTATTACCATTCTCCGATGCTGGTTTGTTATTGAAGAAACGAAAATGGCTTTAACACAAACTCACCGAGCGCTTCGTGCCACGATAAAATAAAATAAAAGTGAGGTCACCCATTAATAATAAAACCATTTTTAAAACACCATCGATGATCTAATTTTCCCAGACCATCATGAAAGGTCGTTTTTATTAAAGGTTTCGTTTTATAAAGAAAATATAAAATATAAATTATATTGTTAAGCAAACTCACTACCTATGACGTTTGTAGAATGAAACCATAATAACATGCAATAACATCCATGGTTCGGTATGGATGACATTGTTTCTCTTATCTTAATGTTTGATACAAATTATAATGGGTTAATTTGATTAAACTATATAAAAAAAGAAAACATTTCAAATGACAAAAGTGATCATAATAACATATAATGCCATGTGTAATGTGTATAATAATATTATGTTATTATTTTACATCAAAATTATTCAATGGTAAATATTTGTTCATTCTCGTTGCTTGATTAAGTTTATCAATTAAAGTTATTTCCATTTCATGGTGGGGCTAATAGTTTAAACTAAATTTTACTAATATTTCAACGATTCACGTTACTAAAAACTATAAAAAATCAAGCCACATAAAACATGTTTTAAAAAAATATTGAAACTAATAAAAAAAGTTTAAATCCCATCATCATACTTAGTTTTCATGTATGATTTTATAAAATTATTACATATACCTATCAAACATTTAAAACGACAATAGTTTAATATTCATTTTTCAACAATTACAATAATCTTCTTTTTAGTTGAATAGAAACAATATAATTATACGATTTAATTCACATTTAAATAATATTTGCAATACTTCAATTTGAACCATTAATAATAAATAGGTTATCCAAACAATAACACATAATATAATAACAAAGATGCTCATAAATTTAAAATGTGTTTTATATTTATAAGAATATTTTTTTTTTTTTTAACGGAAATAAATATTTCAAAAATAAACTTTGTATTACAATATACAATTGTGTAGAATCTCCTCTATTGATATCGAAATAAATAAACGAAAACAGCCATGAGTAAACCAAGAGGGTACAATATTATGTTTTATGTACCTATGTAATAAATGACGTAATAATTGTTAACATTGTTATACATAATTATTTAGAATGTTAAATAGTTTTAAGTTAAGAGGACACATAATATTATTGTAATGTTAAATGTTTTCAAAAATACTATAATCGTTACGAAATAATTAAATATTACGATATCATTATTTTAAAGATTATCCTATGATTGTAAGTTATTTCTCATCTTAATCTAATAAATGTAAAAATATTATAATATTTTCATAGAATGTAAATATAGTCATGTTAATAACTATTATGAATAAAAAAAAAATACTATTAGACATTTTATTTATTTATTCTGTTTTGTAATATGAAATGAACTAATTACATCATAAACAAATAAATAAGATATTTGGGAGTAAAGATGAATATTTTTGTTTCATAATTTGTTGATACATTCCAATTTTATCATGCTAATAAGTATCATATTATTATCGTTTAATTAACTAGATAAGGTATGGTAAAAACTAAAGACTAATATTATAATAAATCTAAAACGAATTTTTTTTTTCTAACTTACCTAACCTAAAGACTTTATGGCTGATTCCCAGTATATATTATTTATGTTTACACCGACTGGTGAACGTGACCTAAAAGAGATAAAATAATGGTTCAATGCCATAGGGACTAACCACTGTTACCGGTAACGATAAACATAAAATATTTTTCATTACCGATCCATATAAGTAATAATTTATGTATATTAACAATGCAGGAAGATACCATATCTTATCTTTACAGTGGAGAAACCAAGGGATTTTTATAAAGGGAGAGAACTACAAATCTATAATCACCGTTATATAAAGTAAATATTTTATACAGAATGATTCACCAATCATGTTATCCCCTTCTTTTTCTTTAACTACGTAGTTTTCCAAAATCTGAGTTTTAGACATTTTAAATCATAGTTAGAGACAATGTTCTCAAATTCTTGAGATTTTTTTTCTTCTACTTAAGTAGTGTCCTGTGAAGATAGAAACTTCTGTTTTTCAAATTAGAACTAACTCTTCTACTTCAAATTATTCAGCAGATAATTTTTTTGAAAATACTTCATAATCTAAATTCGTACTAGTAGTTTTTGAGTTATTTAAATTTGTGTGCCTACTAATATGTCCATGATAATGGGTGTGGAAGATAATATGGCGGCAATGATGATTTGATATTTTAGTCATAAATATTAATCCATCATTATCAATAATTTGTGTAAAAATGTAACAAGTAAAATAAGGATTTAATAATTACATCTATTTAACTTTTTTGTAAAACCATTTTTAAGGAACATATTAATATACTATTAGCATAAAGCATAAACATTTAAAAAACTGAGAAACTACTTGTTTAAATTTTGAATCATGTACACCAACATTTTTTCTTTAAATTATCCACAGAATAATGTACATCTGTTCTGTTCTCATTTTAAAAAAATAAGTTTGCATCACCACAGGACACTTAAGTAGTACAAATAAATTCATGTATTTGAAAAATTGTCCTTTGATTTTTAATGCTCCAAAAGTTTATGACATACACAAAAATAAAACAAACTCACACAAATACATATACCAATACATTCATTGGCACTGCTCAGGGTCTAAAATATAAAAGACTAAAGTCAAAATTTAAATGTATGTTTAATTTGTTATTTGACAAGCACCAATAGTTTCGGATGCGTAGTCCACCATCCTTGGTACACCACTGTTTTAAACCTACTATAGAATTTAATTAAACATTAAAGCAGAGCTCTAAAGTTTGAATACCTACTCTGAAAAAGTAAAACAAAAATATAAATTGTAATAAGCATCGTAACCACGTAGCTTATAGCTATAGCCTAAAGTATGTTCTGTTATCATTTATTTTAATTTATAAATAAATAATGACAATAGTAAAATGTATTAGAACTAAAGGCTGTCTGATAGTAAAGTGTTAAATTAATTTCAAAATCATTAAAGATTTATTGTACCTATGAAACACGATTGCAGACAGCTTACCTTTTTTTTGGAACATGGTTGTAAAAAAAGGTCGGTTGATCGGACATTTTATTTTAGCCAAAAAACAGACAATATTGCAAACGTTTTTTTTAAGTGACGTTACCAAATTATTGTGATATTACTATGGAATTATTCATAGTTATAACTGAAACCACTATATTATGTATTGGAGGACATGGGTTATTAAGCTAACCCTTGTACAATTTATATATGAAAGCTCTCTCCCTGTTGGTACTAATTTCTAAAAAAAACTATTGGTCATAATTAGTCATCAATTTAATAATACAATTTAAGTTAAATTAGATTAAATGACATTGTTTAAATATTGATTCAAGTATAAATTAATAAAAATATTTTATATTATATTTGTTCCAGCTCAAATACTTAACTATCAATAAATTCGGACGTTCCACAAACAATTAACCTTCTTTGGTCATTTACATTTTCAAATCAAAAAAGCACGAAAGTTTTTCCTGATTTTATCCTTTTCTCGTTCGTTCATTCAAATTCCAACAGATGACTCTAGAAGTAACTGATACGCTCGAGTCGACTCTATCAGTTATCACTCTGTTTTCATTCCACCATGGTGACTCGACTCAGCACAGCTACTGTCACACACGATATGTTTGAGCTACTTCGGTAGAAATCCAAATACTGAGTTTAAAATCTAAATTCGTTATTCCTCATAAAGTGGTGATAGCGGTGAATGGTGATTGGATGGAAGCTAACATTCATTAAAATTTAATAAAATTTCTGTCTATGAGGAGCACACAAAATATATTTTATGGGGGTATCCTGTAAGTCCATAATATGTACTATATTCGATTTTAAAATATTATCTCATACCAATAAAAATGTATAATTATTCAATATTAGATCATTCTTGGTAGGACGCCCTCGATAAACATCCAAAGTTTAATTAATTATATTAATTTAATAAATAATCATTTACTTAATGGTTCAATATTAATAACAAAGTAGTAAACAGAATGTAATACAGGAATAATTTAAAATATGAAATAGCTTACAACTATGTTTAATAGTACTATAACTATAACTTACTTAAACTAATATGTTAATTTGAATGAGCCATTATGAATAAAATGTGGGCAAGTAGTTGACTGCTCTGCTGTACAGTAAGCTTCGAAGTTCCTCATCATAGGACACTGAAATGGATGTGTTAAATTTAAATTCAAATGACAAACCATTGCATACGAAAAATTATTCGGAACAAATACCATCTTATCAGTCTATATATATTTTTTCTAGGGATATTTTATCATTTATTTATATTGCTACTATAGACATTTTATTCAATAAACTACCGTCTATTAGTAATAAGGTAGATTGAATTTTTTTTGCTCAAAAAACATAACATTTATTATGTTTTTAATTATTATAATGGCATATATTTATATCATTATACATAATTGTACCCTTAACTTTTGACTCAATACCGAATTCTGACTACCTAGTACCTACTGGAAAACGGTGTCAATATCTGGCAATATCTTGAAATTAATCTGAATATTTTGAAAATGTGGTATCTAGTGTATAATAAAATATAAAAATATACATAACAGTTATAAGTACCCACAAATAATGTTTATAAACTACAGCAACATATATCTAAAATTGTTATTCCTCGTTTAAATATCTAAATTCTTCTAAATTTGAAACAAATTTGATCAAATATCTGTGCAAATATTTTACAAATATATTTTTATATTTTGGAATATCAGTAAGAACTACTTATTAGAAAACTTTCACAAGTTTTACAAGAGTTCTTGTATTTATTTCTTCATTTCAATCATTTACTCGCAGTCAAAAATGTTATCATGCATAAATAAAAAATAAAATTTATTTATAAATAGAGAGCAAAATATTTTGAAAAGTATGGAATATCTAGTGAATGCTAATATGAATAGTTGGTGCAGAAGTCTCTAATATCATTTATTTCTGAATTACAAAAAAACAAAAACTGGTTTTATAATAATCTGTTTGAAAACCTATTTGTCTTCATTTTTTCATTTTTTTTCTCCTTATTATTTTAATAGGTATTGTTAATTTTTACTTTAACTTCCCAATTTTCTACCAAAATTCACTATCAACGTTTAAGGCTGAAGCATTTTGTCACACACACATACACAAGTCATTGTAAAATCAATAAATTTATATATTTATCACTTCTGTAAGAATCGAAAACTGTTATTTCTAAAATATTGTAATTAAACAAGTTGTTTATAATAATAATAAGGGAAATATTTTTAAAATTAAAAAATAAATTTATTTACAGACGAAGATCTTGTACTATCACCATTCACCGTATTATACTCTCATCAAATGAGTAAATTTTTTTCATTAGAAATATATTATGCCCCTTTTCCAAATAAAACCGAATGAATTACCCCAGCAGAATTTTATACTGAAATATGGTTTTAACATTCCACTCCACAGTCTACTCCTAGCCATTTCTAAGTGTTAAAAAAATAATCAAATCCAACAATTTGCGAATCGATAAAAATATTTTCATAGAAATAAATAAGAAATGTGGAAAACGTAAGTTAAATACCAATATTATTCTTGCTGAAATCATATATAAATTTAAATATGAGGAACAAAAATATATAACAATTGTCACTTTAATATTACTCCTTAATATTTAATGTATACATAATTATTGTTATTGCTAGTTCCAAATAGGTATAAAAATTGCATATATAAAGCGATTATTTTTGTTCAACATAATATAACCTATACAAACCGGTTTTATAGTTTAAATTTAATATTATAGATACTTTACATCATTAATATAATGTTACTACTATTGGTAAGAATTGAATCAAACTGCGCTATCTATACGTATTTTCCCATTCACACTTAAAATGAGCTTTCCTTTATTTAACCTATAACGAAACTTCATATTAGTAAGTTATAAGTTAATACTAACACAGTAAATCGCATTAATGTAATAAATTCTACGTTGAACATAATGTAATAAAATAATATTAAAATTTAATCTTATAAATTTTAATTTTTATAAAACGTGATAATTCTCTTATTTTCGACTAAGTGCTTATATTGAGTAGATCCGTATAAAATGTAATAATAACTTATTATATAAATTTAAATATAATTTAAGTAGAGTTAATAACATTATACTCGTTATAATATTAATTGTTACATAATTTGTTATGAAGACTTAAATTAAATTATTCTAAAACTTACTGTTCGTTACACGTTGTAAAATGTGTATTATTTATTTTTTAATTTTTTAATATCAATTTATTACCGTTATAAAATACCTACCTATTAAAACTGTATGTAACGTACCAAAAAAACCTAAAATTCTGACATACTCTACATAAATCAATAAAATAATGCACAACCTAGGTTATGAGAATTAAAATATATATTATATTACACACAGCGGACCGTCGTGTTTTAAAGTTCTCCCTTTAATTTAAATATTAAACTTAGTACTTAAAATGGTTATATGACTAATTTCCATACATGATATAAAAATTTATTGGCATAAGACTTTTTAAATTTTTATTATTTTTTTTTTAAATTACTGTCGATAAATATTTGTTGGCTCTGTTGAAAATTTGAAAATTAAAGTTAAGATCGCTTATAAGTTGTCAGGTTATTATAGTTAGTTTGTCTTAATAACGTTCACAAATATAAAAGATATATACGCACGATTTTTACGAGTAAAGTTCAATTTTTGACAAAATTAGAATCACAAAATTTTCAAATTCTTTTGAAATTAAAATTTATGAAATGTTCGATTTTGTAGTTAAAAAATTAAAAATATAAAACAAATATTATCATAAATATGTTATACTGTAGCCAAAAAAACTAAAAAATAATTTTAATTTTATATTTCAACAAAATTAGATAATATTAAAACAAAGAATATCAATTTCAATTATTTTTTTTTTAATTCAAAAGTATTATTTGAGAGTACTTGAAACTGTTAACGTGTACTATGATATTTTATACACACAATGACATTTTCAAATGCAACGTTTTGGTAAAAAATAATTCAACTTACCATATGGATATACAGATAACTAATTGTAAAATAAATTATTCTCTTACAAATATTATAGCTATATCGTATAAAATATGCTTAGTGATATAGGCTGACTTCCTTGAAACCGTTTTTGTATATAATGTTTAATCATTGAATTCAAATTTAAATTAGGTACACATAATGTATTTGTTAAATTTGAAAATACATTTCAGTTAGTCACTTACTCAATGACGGGATATACTCGATTCCAACTATACAGCACAGCAATTACCTACCTCTTCTTATAAGCGAACTTAAATTATCAACGAATCGTAATTTGTCGTTTGTTAGTACATCTGTGAACAATCAATTACAAAGATTCGTTTAAACATAATTTCAACAGTAAGAAACGGAAGATGGTAATGGATTAAAATAGAAAATACTAGGATTACTTAATAACATAGTATAATAGTATAATAGTATAATAATTTATTATTATCCATACACAATAGGTATTAGGTAGTCAATAATACCTCCAAGGATTAAGCAAATGTTTTAATTTAAATATTATTTTATCATTAAAATAACATTAACGTAAAATACTATCATGGAATATAATTTTCAGATAACTAAAAGTTCTGTGTAGAATATCTACTGTATAATGCAGTTTCCATTATATACATACATAATCAATTACGATTAAGTAAAAGTATTGGATTACCATAATTTAAAAATAACTGAATACAATATAGATATTCAATGCTTGGTAAGTTAACAGTCGTATTTTATTAATAATGAATAATTTATTGAATTATAATTAACTCCCAAATTAATTCAGTAAAAAATAATTTATAATTTAAATTGATAATTGTAGGTAGCTTATCATTGTTTATAGTATTCATTAGTATTTTAGTTTATTTCAGTTGAGTTACATGACATTTTAGTTAATTACAATGTACAATGTATGATGATTTAAAACAATATAAACTGAAGCCGTTTATTTATAAATTATAACCACCACCGCCATGGTATTTATTAATTGTTAATCACACTGATTATTTCAAGTCATTTTAGATTCTGGGCTATTTTTAAACGGTTATTTTGTGTTTATTGTCACCTTTGGGGGAAATAAAAATAATTCAATCTGTTGGTTTCTGTTAGAAAGTTGCACTTCGTTTGTTTTAGTTGGTACTTTGGGGATTTTTAATAATAAAAATGCTTAGCGCTTTTCAAAATAATGACTTATTATTTTATTGTAATTCATAAAATATTATTCGTAATGACTTAAACTCTTAACTACTAAGTATATTATTATTTATTGTACACAATACAATTTCCAAAATAATTGGATTAAATTTATTTAAAGTTATTTATACATTATACCACATAACTTTTTAATTCTAAAGTATGTTGGTATTATTTTTGAAGTTTATAACAATAATATATTATGTAAATATATAGGCTGCTGTCCTACTATTAAAATCATTAATTCTTAAATAAATATTAATTAAATTAATTCAGCCCACAGTATTACTAATAATAGTAAAATAAATAAATTGCCATAATATCTATATGAATATGTTATCAAATATACTAAGTAATTATGAGAGCAGGATTGCTCCAGCTCAGAATCATTTTTTGTGTCGAGTGGTTTATCATTTAATTCAAATTACAAACACATTCATTACTGCAATGTCCTACTCAGAGACGAGGTGAACCAGACACCTACTATACAGCATACTATACAGTATACAGTAATACAGTATACATAGTCAAAATACCATGGATCTTGTTAGCACATTTTCCACTCTGAAATTATAGAAGAATTATTTTGAGATCAACTGTGGATAAAGAGAGGCTTATTGGGTTAGTTAGACAAATCAAAGTCTAAAACAACATGTAAATAAATTATTATTCTTAATTGTTGAGTATTTTTTTTTTTAATTTTTTTAATTTGCACCCCACTCCCCCGCCATTTTAAAATCCAGGCTAGGCCACTGCAACATAGTAACTTCTTAGGCTTTATTTTTACAACTTAAATATATATATAGATCTTATATACATGAATTTTCAATTGAAAAGATTCAATTGGTAATAATTATATTCAAACATTTTTAATGCACTCAAAAATATCACGAATTTCTTTCATAAATCATCCATTTTTTTTTTTTGCTTCTAGTAAAGTATACCTTTCAAAATTGATAAAATATTATTTGTTAAATGATATCTGATGCAAATGTAAAAATAGTAAAATAATAATTTAACATATTTATTAGTTTGTGTTTAGAAAATAGGTACAATATTATGTAAAATGTCCGTTCTTTAGAATCTATGTACTATAATATTTAGAAAAATAAACCTTTGAAACTTTTTGAATACTCCAGTTTGATAAAGTTTCAGTGAAGTAGGAACCTATATTAAACCTAATTAATAATTGAAAATAGAATTAACGTTGTATTCTATCAATTACTTCATAAATAATGAACATATTTTAAACACAAATTTGAAAATGTGATTTCGTAAAAAATATATAACTCAGGAAGAGCATTTTCCTAGACTGTAATGTGAGTTCGAGCGAAGCGACACTTAACAATGGGTTGAAGAGAAATTAATTCTGTTTTCCATAAATATTGATTTACCTTTTAAACTTATTACTATTATAAGGTACATATTTTAATAGTATGATACCATTCCAACAAATGTGAGATTCTTGTATTATTTATGTAGTTTGAATTATGTTTGTCTAATAAAACTGAGTATGAGTGAGATTTTATGGGCAATTACCTACAACAAAGAATTCAAATACTTAAAATATGGAAATGAAGTATATACAATGTATATACATATTTGATATTGTATTATTTTAGTATATAAGTTTGTCACGTTATTTACTACATTTCTTATGGACAAATTACCTATCCTATAAACTAGTTATTGTTGGAAATTTCCAATATTACTAAAGTGTAAATAATATACTTTAATATTATGTATGAAGTGGATTCGAGTATGCAATATTGCACATTTTTTCAATCTACACAGTAACAGCATAATACGATGAAAGACGATTAATTATCTAATAATCTATTAAAGGAGACTTAATTCCTACTATTTTATTAAATATTCAATAATATGTACTAACATTTAATAACATTCTGAAGGATAAAGTTTATTAGAAAACAAAACTGATTTCATGTCTCTGTGAGTGAAATAATTACTTGAAGAAAAACTCTGCAAGGTATTTAGACAACTGTTTTCCTCATTAGCACCTCGTTTAATTCCGTGCTACTTTTAGCAGTGTACGAGTTGTTTTCCACCCATTACATGACTTTATACCCATAAAATCAATACGAAACCTTCTCCATCATTCCGTTATGTTATAAAAAAAATGTATTTGAGGCTACCAAACATACTATTAGCAAACTATTTTCAGAGGTGCTACTACTGGGTAGTTTCTTATCAACTGTGTACCTGTATTTTTCAAACCATGTGATTAATTTTACTTATTGTACAATAGTTAATAAAAATTACAAATACTTAATTTAAATAAGAAAAATAAGTAGTAACAAGATATAGTTAAATAAATTATAGCAGATAATGTTAAAATATTATGTTTTAAAAGTACACAAATTAAATAGAAATAATGAGAAATTATGTTGTGTTTGCTCATAAAATATACAGTAGGTAATGATAAAATAAAAAGTTCTATTGTACCTATATTAAACGTTAAACATATATCAATTATAAAACGTCAATCATTATAATGGCTGACATGATATTAATAAAACATTATTTTTATATAACTTGAAATTCAAAGGAAATATACAAATATTAAAGAGTTTATTCGAAATAAAAAAGCTACCATTATTTTAGTTAAACTACAAATAATATCCACCTATCTTGATATATTTAATATAACATATAATTTAAATTAAATATCTTAGCGTCACCAACGAAACATTTTCCCATAAAAATAACACAATATTATCTATAGTTTTCTACAATCAACATTAAATGTTCCTCCTTCACCCACTCGGTATGTCTCAGAATGTTTACAAGTTTTATAATGCTGGGCTGTAGTAAAGTTGATGGCTGACTCTACCGTAACTAAATTCATATAGTTTGATACTTTTGTCATTATTAATTTCTCTGGATGAATTTTTATGGAAAATAATATGAAAAATATTTTATTTCAATTCAAAAAGAAGTATAAAAAAACTCATGACCAATTAAATTGTTTTATTGAACTTCATTTATCAGTTAAAACTTTTATTAAAAACAAGATGAGTATTTTTTTTTGTATTTTTAGTATGTCTAAACTTATTAGTAAAGTTGCCAATTACTGTGAAATGTGTATTTTTCAATTCCTATTTCTACATTTTAACTTTAATTTGTAGAACTTGAAACGATATGTTTCTTGTCTGAGTTTTTCTTAGTTTTTTAGCCAATTTATTATACATATATATATATGAGACAACCAATGTCAAAAAGTAGTACCTACCTATTTTTAGAACGTTTTCATAAATTCAGATAATCGATATTTTGCCATAGTGTTTCTATAGTTAATTGGCACTAATCCTAATTGGTAAAAATTTTAAGTTCTAACACAAAGTATATCTCTTATTTAATTTTTGATGTAAAAATTTGGTGTAATTGCAAAATAGAGTCTGTCCAAAGCGAAATATGTTTCTTGTTTCTACCCGAAATGCAATACCACTATAACACGCCCACTTTACCATTTTCGATTCTGTACACCAAAAATAAAGAGACAGCGTTTCATGGATCTTCTGTATTATATCTATTGGACACTCATGTCTCTTTCTTTAAACATTAACATACTATGATAATGGTATATTGTCAGTTATTTTACCGTGTTATATTTTAAAATGTAATTAATATTTTATTATTATTTTATTTGTAGATAACATTGTACCACACAATTCTGTACCTTACTCTCAAGCTTAGCTAACAGGAGATAGACAAACCAATCATATAACTGTGAACTGCAGTCAACATATTATTGTTTTGTAATGATTTTCATTCAATAAAAAAATTAATTACTTTAGAAGAATACACAATTCTGGACCACTAGCCCAAAAACGGTCTTAGTTTCTATTGTAAACACCCTTTAAGCAAAATCTTAATTGGTTATCACCCTTCCATTTTTGTATTTTTTCACTATTTCCTAGGAAAAAAATGATAAATTAAAACAATACTATTATCATTCATGTTATACTATACTTAGTAAGTGTCTGGCTTACAATTTCTGAACGTCTTCAAAAGTGTTTTGAGTTGTTTTCTGCGCAAATAGTGTTTGCCGAAGAAAAAACAATATAATAATATGCGGAATAGTACACCCTCGGGTAAAATGGGTCGCGCGTACATACACCGCATAATACGTATCTGTTCAGAAAATGTTTTACTCTTTTGGACGTGAAATCATTTATTTTGCAGCTCTCTTGCAATTTATAATCGGACAATTTGTATTCGTAATTCGTATTTTATTCTACATGTACATATATTATAGACTCATGCGATATTTTCGATCGCCAGACTTGTAGGTTCACATATAGATATACCGTAAGCGTGTCTTAAAATCGCGTGCATAAGGTGAGCACTAAATAAATTTTTATATATATATATATTATATACCTAAAGAGTATAGCTACATACCTATACACTACTAAAGTAATGGCCGTTCTAACTGCTCGTGACTGGGCATATCTAAAATTATATTGTATCATCAACTTACGTAGGTATACAACAATATAAAAAGAAATCGGCAGGATATGCCTAAAAAAAAATGTACCTACCGTATATGTATGCGTATAGAACGTGAACGATGGTTAGGTAGTACATTGTTTATTTAACAACAAATAGAATGTGATTATTGGTGAAGATCGACCGACAATAATTTTTTCTCTGAAGTTCCGACCTAAATAGTCGTTTTAAAAAACGTCAAGACGATTGTCCATTAAATACGAACACGAGTGATGATTATGACTTACAATAAATTGCAAGAGGGTAGACTTTTGATCCATTTGCAGCGATAAACCAATCTTATATATACGGAGTGGTTTACCGAGCAAGATCGCCCCCATGTTTTCTTTAATGATGCATTCACTCAAAATCTGATTTTTGGAATTTTCAAGTGTGCTTGAAGACAACTCTAATATAAAATGTAACATTATTATAGGAACCAAAGTATTATTTAAATAATAATACTTGAATACTTGATAATTACTTACAACGTTTCCATGATACGGAGGGTGTGAGCTGACACAATATAAATATATTATTTATTATATATATGCAATATACATTAACATACACTACCATGACCCATATGCACTGGTGTGCACAAACGCACCGGCGTTCTACAAAATAACACAAATTGAATACTCTATTAGCTCGGCGTCCTGGCGGTACTTATGCAGCACCGTCCTATATAAAATTGCGAGTGCATCGTGGTCCCTTAACGTTTCGTTCAAACGATACTGATGTATATATTAGGTGGGGTTACATTCACATCATCCTATATAAGGACCAAACTAAATCTACTCAGGAGCCAGTTTTTCAGTGAAAAGGCTGCACATTGTCCACATTAGTTTGCAGCACTTTGATATAATTTTTGCCATTCAAAATAATGCATCCACACTTGTATGTTTATTCAGTCATTCGAACATCCAGGTGCATGGTCATTGATCACACGATTATTTATCTTGCACTATTAATCAAATTAATTTGTAAATTATTTCTTTCAACCAAACGTATTATTATACACCTCACTCATTATTTATTCATCTTAACATAAGACAAATTAATTACTATTGTAATATATATTTTGTAGTATTATTGATTAAATCACAAGTATAGTTTTAAGTACTGCATAACTTAAATAACGTTCGAATAGAAATCGGTGTCTGTAGAAAGTCCTACACGATGGCAACGAGCCTGCGAATGTGCGAAGAATTTCTAAAATCTAGTATTCATTGATGACTTAACCTTAATATTAGTATTTAAGTACAATTATTACATAGTATTGTTATTTGAATCATAAGTATAGCTTTAGTGCTCTATAACTTAAAAAAACATTTGAATAGCAATCAGTGTCTGTTAATGACCTACTTGATAGCGAGTGACGAATATAACCATTTTTAAGAGCTTAAGATAATAATCACAAGACTTATCTCACATAAAAGGTGTTTGAAATACCTCAATATTATGAAAAAAATGTGGGAATTTGTGGATCCTACCTTGACACCACTTCTCTCCTCGACACATCTTCGGAAACGGGAGTTGCGTGTCGGCAAGTGGAAGGTAATCAAGATTCGGTTTTCCACTGTAAAATCTATACACTATGTTGACACTCATCGAAAACGACGCACGAAAATTGTTCGATAAAAAAAAATCGACGTGAACTGAACCGTATTTGGCAGCGAGATGGATACGCTGAGGAAACCTACCAACAGAAAATATCGTGATTACTCTTTCACCACGAGTGTAAAATAGGGTTCACAGCCGCATCGTTTTTTGTGTCGTATGACTTTTTATCATATTCTGATTGACACATATTTTGCTCAACATCAGTATTAGGTTCTTACTTTATTTTTTTTTTTTTACCAAGGGGATCCCTCGGCAACATGTGCCATTAGGTGTGGGGTAGTAAGGGGGGTAGTTTTTTGTAGAGGTTTAATAGGTTTTTATGTTGGTAGGATGATAACACGTGTTTGTGTGGGTGACAAGGATTATGTGTTGCGAAAAACTCGAATGGTTACCCATCCGAGAGCTAGCAACGTCTACCGGTACGTACACCCAGAGCATTTCCGCAGATTGAGCATGCGACCGCGCCTCACCGAGCCAATATTACTTACTCATTTCAATAGAACAGCTAATAGTCAAATTTTTTCAATGTTATCGATAAAAAAGTGAATATATTAATTGATTTCACTACAGAACTTGCCAGTTGGGGGTGTACAAATGTAACTAGATAGTTATGAACAAAGATTGTCGGGAGTCTGACGAAAATCGAATGATTTTAAGGTATATGCTTGTTGCGCAAGTGTGCCATCACTACATACTACCTATATGATGCATCCATATAAAGAATATAAGCTATAGGCAATGCACATCAATGGTTATTTTAAACTAGGTAATTATAACTTGAAATCATAACTCACGAATTCATACAAAAATTTTCCAAAGTAGTATAAGTAGTTAAAATATGCAAAAATCAAAAATATGATAGACTGATGGTTGAAAAATTGAATTGGGCAAGAACGAGTCACCAAAATTGGACCAATATAGGTAAGTAGTATATTTTATTTCTTTATTTTTTTTAATTGGTCTATATTTTATCAAACCAACATTTTCTATCATTCGTATCATGTATATCATGGAATCCTGAGTTCCTTGTGAAATCGTGCAGAAGACATTTATCGGGCACTTACACTATTTCGTAGCCCTTCGCTAGAGCACATCCGATGACTACGCTGTGCCACGGCAGGGACGGTATCTCCTAGGCGGGAGACGGCTACGTCGACGAGAGACTAAGCGTCTCGCAGTTACCGGTGGCGTGGGCCGGGACCGACGAGCTGTGGGGAAGGGGGGAGGGGGTGACGGCGGGGAAGAAGAAAAAAACACACACATACTCACACATACACGATACTTGAGGAGGGCGGCGGTGTGCGTAGGCGAATGTGCGGTCGGGGTAGTGCGCGAGGGGCGGCGTGGCTTACGGACGGGGTGGTTGTCGCATGGGGGTGTGAAAATTGCGTGGGGGTCGGGGAGGCGCAAAACTTTCTACAGCGGTGGGCGCGCAGGCCTAGCTCGCGTGCGCCGACCGTTGCGCGTACACCGGTGGCGTTTCCTTTATCGATCGCGCGCGCGCCAGGCGGCCGACCGCTCCGCTGGTCCAGTCTCTCACGGTCGTCGCCATATTGCGACGAGCTTTACACGCCGTCAAACCGCGACGTGCCCCCCACCCCCTCCGACGACGACGACGACTCCAACTCCGACGACTCCGACTTCGACTCGGCACACACGGTAGCCGCACGGCAATGGACTGAAAACGGAACGAGCGCGGACACCATCGCTGCTATTCCGACGCCTACACGCCGTCACGGTTTTTTTCGGACGGATTTCCGTCGGGACGGACGCCGCCGCACACCGAAAGAGGTCCACCGCGCACGTCCTGCAGGAACGGACCCATTTAGTAGTTAGTCGCGGTGTACGCGAGGACCGTGCGCGCGCGGTTCGTCATTGAGACACTGTTCCGTCGTGTGTGTGTGCGGATCGGGTAGGGCGATACAACGTGTACACTTAAGATTACTGCCTACCTCTACGCAGTCACACGGGACCATCGCCGACCGCGCGAGAGCCCATCGCGCCCGCGGAAGAAGTGAGCGGCTCGGTCGAAGACGCATATATAGCTTTTGAATTTGGACACAACACAACGCGGGTAAGTCGTCCCGATGATGGTGATTATGGTGATGTAGTAATGATATATAATACTGTGACGTGTGTGTGTGTGAGAGTAGTTTTGGGAGGCGCGTGTTGATGCGCGTGTTTACTCACGAATATTATATTATATATAGTCGCAGGCGGAGTATGACCCATTTACCGCTTTCCTCGTCGCCCAACCTCGAGTATGAAACCACGCGAGACGCATAGAGGGGCGGTGAACGACGAAATCTATTGATTTTTATGAGTGCATTGAGAGTGGTATAATATAATATAGTAAACTGGAAAATCAAGATATAGTGTAACTCTTGTTAAAAAATACTATGTGTATTGTATACTGTCCAAAGTCCAATATTTTTTATTAATATTGTTGTCACATAATATCGTCTCGTTGACACAACCATGACCGCTGATGCGGTTCCCGTGGTCGTACCGCCACGCCACGCTAGAGGAAGGCACACCCCTAGAATGTAGGTCACGCGCGGGGTCAAACGCGCTTTAAAGTTTGGTGGTGGTAGCGCGTAGGTGGAGGAGGTGGTGGCTATTATGCGTAGGAGGCAAGGGAGGAAAAGTGGTTGTACGTGTAACGAGGAGCGTCGGAATCTGGGGTGGCGGTAGTGATCAGGACTTTTACGCGTCAAAACACGTCGACCGTAATATTAATATCACGCATATAATATTTTTACATAGGTAATTAATATCTGTCGCGTGTATCGAGTTTTAGTTTTTTTATTATTATTTTTGCTGAAGCGATGAAATCTCCATTATCCGAATGGGCGACGGCAATAATTACTATGATATACGTTATGAATTATGATTCTAGCAATTTTGCATAATTGCTGCATGTTTATACGTATGTTTTCCCTTTTTTACCCCATTAATACTTCATTTAACGGTTAAATTGTTATTAAATTGTTGTTGATACATTATAATATTATCTACGCAACGCATGCAAAATAATATGGACAAGGTTATTCACCAATAATCTGTATCCTAACTCTTCAATTGTGTTTGGCTTTTTATGATATCAGTAATTTTACAGTCATGCTTATATTTTATTATTTAAAACTAAATTCAAGCATATTACATATCAAATACATTTTATGTTTTTACCATTTCCATTTTTCGAGAAATTGTATCTACTATTCTACTTACTTGAAGTGTGAATACTCACATACATACATACATACATACATACATACGTACATTCATACATAGGCGTGAGTGTGTGACTACGGTGGCAGCTGCAGAGGCTGCATGTGGTGCCATTTTCAAAAGGATCAAGCCGCCTCTTCAGTCTACATTTAAGAAAAAATACTTATATTCCTTGAATAGAGAATAGCAATATAATATATAATATGTTATATGCTTTTTGATCTGTTTTCGTCTTTTTATTTTGATACAAATTGGTTAGTATTACTGATAAAGTAATAAACACGACAACGGCCCCATTAGAAATTATTACACCAAACCATAATACCTATGGTATAAAATCATAAGCTATAGTAATGAAAAGTGTTATTATTATTATTGTATACTCCCAAACAAACGAGTTAGAGAATCATTATTTTTCAACCCTTTCTTTATCACTATCTTCCACTGGTTTTAAAAATTAAGGCGTTGTACATCAAAATAAAATATATGCTGCCTCTGCGGAAGAGGCCTATATCACACCTCACGTCTATGCATTCAATATGCAAACACTTTTTTAAGCGTTTGTCGTACTGGTTGTCTACGGACAGGCATCGGTGGGATTAATTTTATTTTCATAATCCTGAGAAATCAGTAAGTAACCTAACGTAATGAACAACTTAAAATCTACATTACATTGAAAACATTTTTTTTCATACACGGTTATTATAATAATAAGAGCGCATCCGATTACGAATATTATTTCAGAAGTTTTGTTATTACGGCCACGTATAATAATCCTCTCCACAGTCATATTATTAAGTATGTGTATCACAATATAATAATAATAATAATAATAATATTATTATTATGTGGGTTATGGTCGTCGCAAACGTGGATGTGCCGCGTAGGCGGTAGCGATAGCTGTTGGGCATAAAGTATTATATATTTATACACGNTTTTTTTTTTTTTTTTTTTTTTTTTTTTTTGTTGTTTGTTGTCGCCGCGATTCGGCAGCGTGTGTGCAAAACACAAAATGTCGATCGATCGGCCGTCGTCGCCGTCGTCGTCGTCGCTGCTGCCGCCGCTACTGCCGCCTCTGCCTCCGCCACAATACCGAGTGAAGTGTTGTTCCAGACGGTGTCGGTATTGTAGGGCCGCCGCGGTCGGTTATAATCATATTATTACATTAGTCTCCGTAGATGCTGTAAAATAAAATAGTAAATCTTTTTGTCGTCATTATATTTTCCAGTAATTAAAATATAATACATCAACGTCATAGTACCAATGATAACATAACATTTTAAGTCATACTCAAACTAACCAATAGTTTTACCCATAAAATATATATACACCTCATTAAGAGTCGCGTGGTGTGTATTCGATTTCTTACCGACGGAAGCCGGCCGGATGAGCGAGCGACGACGAGTTTAAGAAAAATAAAGGTAAACGCGCGAATCCTGTCGGATTGTTTCGCTGCGGTGTTTTTCTTCTGTTTCGATTCTAACCTTTGAGAACGATGGTACATTATATACCTTCTACATAAATTATTATATTTATATGTATGAAACAATGAGTAGCGGTAACGAGAATCCGCGATCAGTTAGTTAATATGTATAGTATACACATGGACAGAATACAGTTTGAGATATAGGACTGACCAAGGAAAATTAATATTTAGCGGCCCACAAGCAGGTCAGTATTTTAGACTTACAAAAAATGAAGATTCTACACATGGTAATGAGCCATTATTTTTCTATATTTATCATGAAATTAGTCAATAATTCAAATATTTAAATATAATAGTCATCTTTACCCGAACTACTATAATAATACCTATAACTTATTAAATTGTTCTACTCACGATATTATTGCCAATATAATATACCTATAACTACTAAATAGTGAGTAGTATTAATTTTTAAACAGTATTATGTTATTCTATTATTATAATGTATATCGAACTCTTTATTGTCCGATTATAGCTTTGTATCAAAACCACAATATTGTACATGCATACTTATTGTTATTTATTAGTTGTTACATTACGAGTGTTTGAGCCTTGATGCATTTGCATATATTTTCTACTCAAAATCTTGTTCAATGCGTACCTATTCGTGTATACTCGTTTCATTATACATAATACAAAATTAAATGCATATTTTTACTCAAATACTCACATTCTAAGGTTGTACGCATATTAATAAATTACGTTTACAACATTTTGTTTATAAATCATGATAAAAAAAAACTTAAGTAGTTGAAATAATATTAATAAATTAAACGACGTACAATAATTATGATTCAGTCGTTATGCCCGCTATAGAGTTCTTACACACATATTTAAACCTCTTGAAAACCCATTTTTAACGTACGTAGCTCACTTGAAAGATTTTATTGAAAAAAATGTACTCACTCACTCATACCTCTTACCACTCTTTACCTTCTTGTCTTACCTACTGTATTCCACAACTACTGGAAAATTCATAAGCTATCCTTTAAAAGTACCATATATTCATATTATACAAATCTGGAGAGGTGTTGCATGAAACTTTTTGAATTATTTATACTTTTTTTATCCCTCCCTTTTTTCAGAATCTTTAAAAACCGATCAATATAAATTAATTTCACAATATCATGTCTAATAAATATTTAATCCGTACTTAATACATTTAATGCAAATTTGTAAATTATTATGAAAATATTTTTAAATTTTAAGTTTAAGCCTTAAACGCGCCTCTACTTATTGATGCATATTGAAAACAAAAATAGTATCAATATTACATTATCACATTGCATACTTTGAAAAGTACGTAACGTATACAAATATTTTCTATATACATATATATATCCTTTTTATTAAATCTTTGGTGTTATCGGCCATTAGGTGTAGATATATATTTACAAAATGTAATTATATTGAATATCCATACACACATTATACAGTATACTCAACTATAATTGTATGGTCATGTACCATGCAGGTGGTTGAATCTGAGTGCTGCTAATGGAGGGATTCATCGAATCGAAGATTAATTATTATGACAGAGTATACCTAGTAGGTATAGGTAATATTAAAACTAAGTGTTACAAAATCAATCTAAAATAATAAAATAATTTGATCTGTAGGTACCTACTGAATTTATTGGGGCATGTGAAACGGTCGTGCATGATTTGACATGTTATCGCAATATACTGAACCGTCGCACAGAACCCCCTGAATTTAAAAGTCCCGAGCTTAGTCGGTATAAATAAGGTATAGGATATTAATTTCCGGTAGTTTCATACTTTCAAGTTAATTATTAACCACTAATTAATTAGTTATTATCTATTGATTATAATACAGTATCAGTTGTATTCTGGCGTCTAAACCCAACACAGAATAGGAAAACAAAAACATCATTTTTCACAAAACCGCGAAATTACTAAGCCTGGTCCTGATATTAAGTATACTATTACGAGTACAACACACTTACACACTACTCACACATAGTATAATATATTGTATAAGTACACACGGTGCAAATAAATTGGTTGTGCAAACTGTTTGTTTTCCGAAGACGAAATGGCTACGCCGCGGTACTTAGGCGGGTTTCTCGTTGTTGACACTAGGTACGTGATGTTTAAATACTGCAACCACGAGGCATTATATATATGACAATACAATTTAGGTCTAACGGTAGTATTTTTTAGTGTTTTAGTGTGACGTGTCTAAACATAGACATAATAGTTTCTAGTTTATAAGCCTTCTAATGTTGTACGCATACCTCGTTGTATGAAATCGGAACAGTGTACCCACTATAATATACCTAGGTACAGGTACATTGTATTGTATAATAAAATTACTATAACGATAGACGTGGGGAG